ACCACAACAACCATACGAAATGAAGGAGGTAGATATATAGTTACCCTACCCTTTAAAAATTGCGAAGAATTGGGAAATTCTCGAAATATTGCCCTCGCACAGTTTTATAGAATGGAGAAAAATCTGTTAAAGACTCCTGATATAAAAGACTCATATGACAAAGCAATATTAGAATATTTAGATTTGGGTCATATGAGAAAACTAACACAGGAAGAAATTAATCAGACCCCAAACTACTATTTACCACATCACGCAGTCATTAAACCAGATCGGTTGACTACAAAACTTCGTGTAGTATTTAACGCCTCTAGTCCTATTTCAAATAAAAGAAGTCTCAACGATAATTTGTTTCCGGGTCCAATTCTCCAGCAAGATCTTGTGTTGCAAATATTAAAATGGAGATTCTTTAAATATGTTTACAACGCTGATGTAACTCAAATGTACCGACAGATTCTCGTAGATAGAAATCAAACAAAATTCCAAAGAATATTATTCAGAAAATCTCCAAACGACCCTGTGGAAGATTATGAACTTTTAACAGTAACATTTGGAATAAATTGTGCACCCTTCTTAGCCCTTCGAACTCTTTTACAACTCGCTGAAGATATAAAAGAAACATATCCTAAAGCTGCTAAAATTATATTACAATACCTATATGTTGATGACGTCCTGGCGGGAGGTCATACGATAAAAGAAGCAATAGACTCACGAAAGGAACTAATTGCTGCATTTGGATCTGCAGGGTTTCAATTAAGAAAATGGGCTTCAAATGAGCCCAAAATAATTCAAGATTTGCATACAGATCAACTTTTACAATTAAATTGGCTGGATATATTCGAAAATGCTTCTACTAAGACCTTAGGTATCAGATGGGATATATCAGGAGATTGTTTCTCTTTCACATCATCTTCGATAGAAAATAAACTCAATTTCACTAAAAGAGAAGTGTTGTCTACCATTGCAAAATTATTCGACCCGTGTGGGTGGTTAGCACCAATAATCGTTGTAGCTAAATTAATTATGCAACAGATATGGTTAGACAAAATAAATTGGGATGACACTCTTGCTCCTATAACATCGATAAATTGGAAAAATTTCGTTAAAAATTCTAATTCAATTAATACTATAAATATTCAAAGGTGGATAAAATACAGTCCAAAGAGTCAGATTGAAATACATGGATTCTGTGAAGCATCTGAAAGAGCATACGGCGCGGCTTTGTATATAAGGGTTCAAAACAACAATAATGAAGTTGACACATTTCTTTTAGCCGCAAAAACCAGAGTTGTACCCATAAAAAAGATTTCTTTGCCACGACTCGAACTTTGCGGAGCTCTACTTTTATCAAAATTGGCTTCATCTATTAAGAACAATATTCAAATCACAAATATCGAAACTCATTATTGGACTGATTCTACAATTGTTTGAGCCTGGCTCAAAAAACCTCCGTGCCATTGGAGCACATTTGTAGGAAACAGAATTTCCGAAATTACTGAAAATTTTGGCATTGAAAGATGGCGTCATGTTGACTCTGAAGCCAATCCCGCTGATGTAGCCAGTAGAGGATGTTCTCCAATCGATTTACAAACCAATAATTTATGGTGGCACGGACCACAGTGGTTGAAATTTCCAAAATCTAGTTGGCCATCGAATAACATACCAGAAGATACAAATCTAGAAATGAAATCAGTTAAAGTTCTTACTCTTACCACTATAACTGCAGATGCTAAGATAGAACTTATAAAAAATGACCCACTCAAAAATTTCTCTATTTTGTCAAGAGCTTTTAGAGCATATGCTTATGCCATGCGGTTTTGGAGAAACACAGGTGTAAATAGAAGACACTTAAGGGTTTCATCTGATATTACCTTTGAAGAAATGCAGCATGCTAAAAGGCTAGTTATAATGGTTACTCAAAAATATTATTTCGAAAATGAGTATAAATTACTAAAGAGAAAATCAAAACTTCCTCCGAACAGTTGTCTTCTAACTCTGAACCCGTTTATTGACTCGAATGGCCTTATTAGAGCAAATGGTCGCCCTGTACAATCACCCGCTTTAACATACAATGAAAGACATCCAATTTTACTGCCTTACTTTTCCAAATTATCACAATTATTAGTTGAATTTACACATAAAATAACTCTACATGGTGGAGATCAACTCGTGACTCGAGTACTTCGCTCAGAATTCTGGATATTCAAATTAAAAATCTTAGTCAAGAAGATAATTCATCGTTGTAACACATGCACCTTATACAGAAAAACCAACCAAACTCAAATTATAGCTTCTCTTCCACCAGAGAGAACATATCTTTCACGACCCTTTAATAACACAGGGGTTGACTTTGCAGGACCCTTTAATATAAAAAGCTTCACTGGTCGAGCTTGTTTAATTACTAAAGGCTATGTGTGTGTTTTCATATGCTTCGCTACCAAAGCAATACATTCAGAACCAACAAGCGACCTTTCAACGCAATCATTTTTGAGTGCATTTGCTCGATTCATTGGACGACGAGGTTGTCCCGCTTGCATATATTCAGATAATGGTACGAATTTTGTGGGTGCCTCTGAATCTCTTAAAAAAGATAAAACTGAATTTATGAAAAATCTTAAAACACAACTCATTAATCAAAATGCCCATCAACATTTAGAATGGAAATTTATTCCTCCTGGGGCTCCTCATATGGGTGGATTATGGGAGGCCGGAGTAAAATCCTTTAAGATTCATTTACGAAAAAGCATTCCAAAACTTAATTTTACCTTTGAAGAATTTAGTACAATATTAGCTCGCATAGAGGCTTGCCTCAATTCAAGACCCTTGAGTCCTGCTAGTGACGACCAAAGTGAAATAGCTCCATTAACCCCAGCTCATTTTCTCATTGGTACGCCTTTGCTAGCACCAGCCGAACCAGATATCTCAGACACAGAGATTTCGCATGCCAATCGCTGGAAACGGCTTAAAATTATTTCACAACACTTTTGCCATAGATGGAAAAAATGAATACCTAAATGAATTACATAGAAGATATAAATGGAAATATCAAAAAGACAATTTAAAGGAAGGGGACTTAGTGGTTATCAAAGATGATCGTTTAGCGCCAACTGAATGGAGATTAGGACGAATTATAAAAACATAAAAATGGGTCGATTAAAACATAAGAGTTGTAGATATAAAAACTTCCATTGGAGTAACTAGTCGACCCATAACAAAAGTTGTCAAATTATTTTTCGACTGACTAGTCGGACCCCCTTTTATAATAAAACTTGGTACTCCCTTCTCCTCAATTGAAGACATGGCTGCCTATCTACCAAACCGGGACTGAGAAGAAGAGGAGCGAACCCCCAACAACAGACGCGACGAACAGCAGCAGCCACCCAGAAGACGGCAACAACCCAGAAGCAGGTCTGGTCAGCGGGAGAATAGAAGAGAGCGGCCCAGTTTCTGGCAATATTCCTGTGGGATATGCCAAGATGACCATGCCATAAATACATGCCCCAGGTTTCGTGAGCAGACTCCCTATTAGCGGTATGAGACGGTAGAAAGAAGAGGATACTGCCGAAACTGCCTGGCAAGGAGTCACCTTGCCCCAGATTGCTCCAGCTTGACTGATTGTAGAAGGTGCGATTACAGACACCACACATTACTACATGGGGCTCCGCAGTTGGAAAATTCATTGCAATCAGCCCGGGTTTTTGTTGCACCATTTACATGGGACCTGGTGTTCGTTCCAACTGCTCTTAAAAGTTAACGCCTTGATCACCGACAAATTGCCACGCAGAATCTACTCGGACCCAATATTAGAAGACCCTACATCATATTTCACGCAACAAGCTCTCGCTGACCCAGACCCTCGTAGCAACATCCCCATAGATATAGAATTGGGCGCCGACACATACTCAGCAATACGTCAAGATGGCTGTACTCCTGCTGGAATTGGCGATATCCAGGCGTTCCAAACAAAACTAGGTTATGTATTTTCAGGCCCTATTAGAAATATGCCAAACAACTAAAACTCTTTGTATCATTCACAGATATCACGGCGGGGGAGGCATGTACATGAATGTACAAATATTAATATAAATATGGTGTGCTATATTTTTCACCAATAGTGGGTGTGCTATTTTAATAGCACATCACTGTAACGTAGCGGGATGCGTTAGACAACAAAACAGACACACATACATGCAGTAGAATAATTGCAATGCATGTTGTTGTTTTGTTTGTCCTCTTTTTGCCAAATTCCATTCAGCACTGGAAACGTCACAGTTACAAACAGGCTAGTTGTGACGTTGACAAAAAAGAAGAGTTCATTCGAAGTTTGATTATTAAAAGCGATCGTTGCTATCCCCCGCCGTAATTAAGATCAAAGTACCTAAATACACAAAGTTTTATTAGTGAAAATTATACTCACCTTTAAAAGCAAAAATTGTATACTTACCTTGAGTTTATTTTACTTACCTTGAAAATTTATACTTACCTTGAATTTATACTTACCTTGAATTTTTATACTTACTTTGATTTTTTATACGTACCTATAAAAGTGAAATAAAACCAAATTGAACAGGCTATGTGAAAAACAACCTCTGTCTGCCGCTTTCCAAAAGGTGGTTTCGCAGCAGCTTGATAAGGTGTGGAATATCGCAAAAATTAAATATTTTGGTATCATGAAATGAAAGCCTTAGAAAATGAAATTAAATAGGACATTATTTTTTCTAAAAATGACTAGAAAATTGTATTTATTGTACCACGGTTGTTCCATTGTAATGCCGAGTTCTTTCAAAAGTGCTCTATTTGCACCACCTAGATCGGACACGATAGCAACAACGACAAAGCCACACGATTTCGCCTTTTCCAATAAGCTAAATACTATATTCTTAGTCATTTGACGGTCAAAATCATAAAAAATCGGCTGCTTCCATTTGGCTACAAGACCTTTTAAAGGAACAAAAACTTAAAAATTTGTTTTAAATTACCAAATATTCTGGTATATACATGCCTCATAGCATTGCGACTTGTACATAGGTTACAGGAGCTAAAGTAGTGTCACTTGACCTGTCATAGCAGTAGATCTTTCTGACTTTCATCTCATCAAAACTGAGTACACAAATCTTTTGCTTGTCAGTAAGATGTGTAGATGCAGACAAAACTTTAAAAACTGGCTGTATTAATCCTCTACTGATTTCCATTTTTTGAGCCGACGTCTGAGGCGTTCGCACCGCCGGGAGAGGAAATTTTTTCCTATATAAAAGCTTATATAGCTTTGCGCTTGTAGCGTGCAAAGAGATTGACTGGGTTATATCTTCTTCGGTCCAATTTGATTTTTTCATTCCGTTTTTCAGTTTTTCTGTTTGACCCTTGGTAAAGCCTGGACTCCAAATTGTTTAGTTCATAGTTAGCCTTAGTAATTTGTTTTTTCAAAGACTCAACGTCGTATTGATGTTTTTTAATTAATTTTTCAATTTTTTCTTCCTGGGCCTTCAATTTACTAGCGTGCTTTTGCTCTTTTCATCTTCTGCACCGCTATTGGATTGAACATCTTCAATACAGGTTTCAGAATCATTGAAGCAAACCATATTTCCATCTTTACCTTTGCCAACTTCAACGTCCTGTTGTTGTTGTGCAGTATCTTCAGCGTAAGCTTTCTGTAACAACGAATTGACAATCTTTTTGTTCTCCCTTTTTTTGATTCTCGAAGTCCGTTGCGCGCTGAGTTCAATGTTTCCAAGCGAACCAGTGTTGATCGTTGGAACTACGCCTCTTTTAAGAAATCGATGTTTGACAAAACCTTCAGTTAAAATAATTCATGAAATCAAATGAAACTCTGCTTTGGTTTTCGTCATACCCATGCCATACTGTAAACCATTTTCGATATCCTCAGGTTTGAAATGCAGCATACATACACGAAAATTTTCTGTGTTAAAATTTTTTTCACGGCGGCAAAAACTAATCCATTTCTTTTTTAAATCTTTGTTTGCCGGAAAAACAAAAAAGCTAATGTTGCACGTGTGGTTATCGTTCCCACTATTACAATTTGCTACAGCACACTTCATATTTTTTATACCAGGGGGTATTCCCTGCCTTACCCCCTGGTAAACATTACCATCGTTCTCCACTAATAAACAAACGTTGTTTTTATAAAAGCAACAATAAAGGGATAAAGCATGACCATTTTGCAACAACAAAATACTACGGTATCCCGAACAAACAAGCCACACTGTTCTATTAATAGAAAAGGCACGGTCGACGAAGGGGTTTTTTGTTGTAACAGACAAAAACCAACTTACATGGTTATGCTACTTCGTTCAGGTTGAACGAAAGCATAACAAGTGGAGAAAGATGTAAATGTTTATAAGTTCGGTTGTAAGATTTAGAAGACTTTCCAAAAGAATTTTAGTTTTATTTAATTCTTTGGTTCCTCTTCTATTGAGCTTACGATCTCGTCACTTGGGTAAAAAATGTTTTTTGTCATAGAAGTTATTTTTAAAATATCTTCTGGGGAGAATATCCCAGACAAAAAACAAGGGAACTGATGAGGATTGGTGGCTCTTTCCGAAACCTAGGTATTCCCCGCCTTACCCCCTGGTAAACATTACCATCTTTCTCCACTAATAAACAAACGTTGTTTTTATAAAAACAACAATAAAGGGATAAAGCCTGACCATTTTGCAACAACAAAATTTTTTATTAATTTTAATTTTTTTATTAATTTTAAACACAAATATAATAATTTATAAACAAAAATGATCTTTCACTTTGTCAACTTTGCTTATTCAATGTTAAGTACTGAATGCAAAACAAATTCACGAATGACGTCACAGAAAGAGTGAGAGAACTCAAGCAAACATAACGCACCTGCGCAAAGCGTAATCTTGTTATTCTTTCATTCATGGTTCATATCTGTCTTTTTTTTTTTTTTTTTTTTTGAAATTATGATGTGCATTTTGGTTGCGGGTGAGAACAAAAGAGAATAACAAATTTAAATGCTGGTTGTTTATATGTGGGAGAGGTAAAGTGTGTTTTTGGTTGCTACGAAAGAATGCTTGCATGAATGCATATGCTGGCATAGTAAGTTCGTTTTTTTACATGTGTATGTAATGGGGTCTATTTAGACGGGAATAGGAAAAACATCAATAGAACTTATTTTATTGTCAAATTTTCTAAATTCGAACTGTAGAAATTGTTTGGTTTTTAAAAAATATGTGAACATATGCAATGCTGTCGCTACATAAATATGCTTATTTTTTGGCATAGGCTATTCTTGACTATTTTGCCGATTCCATTTTCTTTAGATGATTACAACAATGACATACATTAGTTTTACGTCGATGAATAAAATGCTTAAATGCTTAAAATAAATAAATTATTTTCGTCAACATTAATGTTCAATAAATGGTTATAAATGTTTGCTTCTTATTATGTTAATTATTACTTTTATAGCCTTCATCATACATAGTATGGAGGGTATATTAAGTTCATCATTCTGTTTGTAATTAATTGAAATAATAACAAAGTAACATATATTCTTGATCAGCGGAAAATTCTAAAACGATTTAGGCCTGTCCGTCCATCTGTTGTAGCCACGCTAGAGTCAAAAGGAATTAAGATAGGAAGTGAATAGTTTGCACAGACCAGTATTTTCTCTGCAGGCAGGTCTAGTACGAAGATGGGCTATAACGTTCCACCGTATCGTGAATCACCCATATAACGGTACCTCCCGATATTCGGTATTTTGATTATTTTTCCACAGATTTGTCCAAAAATTAGTATTTGTGGTTCGTAACATGACTCAATAAGAAAGGTTGCTCAACTTCAAAGAATCTAGACTTTAAAATATAAAAATTCAATAGTAGGCTTTGTTGATTTTAATTTTTTTAGCAAAATTCTTATATGGGGAAAACGCGTGAAACAAGAATGGAATTTCGGGGTTATTCCACATGATCGAATCTTAAATAGTAGGACAATGCAGTTTTATCACTAAGTTGTACAATTTTTTACCCATTTACGTCGAAAATTTGCATTTATTTTGCAACCAAATTTGAAATAATTTCAAATTATTTTATTTTTTATTCAAAACAATACACATACATACACAACATGTGTATATGTTTTGACAGAATAAGGTCACCAAAAGAAAAACATGTAATTAGGGAGTAGCTTTGTTCTACCATTTGTAATTATGCCATGGTTCGTAATGGGTTCTAGCTCCTGTGGCGGAACATTGTTAATATAGGTCCACGTCTTCGTATAGCCCCCATGTACGGTGTTTTAATGATTTTAGCCACATTTTTCAGTGGAATTGCTTCAAATTTCGTATTTGAAATGTCCGTCTGTCTGTCTGACTGGTGCGCACGATAACTCTCAAGGGGAGTATCCGATTTGGTCCAAACTTGGAACATCGTAATAATTTTGTCAAACTTAGATCGAGTTCGGAGATGGGCAATATCGGTCCACTCCTTCTGGTACCTCCCCCACAAAAGGTCGAAATTTTCAAAAAATATATTTTTTGCACAGAAAGAGAAAGGAAAATCCGATTTTGCTACAACTTTACAAATCCTAATATTTGCGTTAGTGCTGGCTCAGGTGCGAAAATGGTCAATATCGGTACACTCCATCATGTACCTCCCCAACAAATGGTCAAAATTTTAAATAATTACAACTCTCATAAAATGTGATGTGAGAGCCCGTTTGTCTTCAAATTTCACACATCCCAATATTTTTATCAGACCAAAGTCTTGTGTTAAGATGGAATATATCAATCCACTCCTTCTGGTACGTCCCCCACATATGGTCGAAATTTTCAAAAATATATATTTTTGCACAGAAAGAGAAACTATAAGCCGATTTTGTTCCAATTTTGCAAATCCTAATATTTGCGTCAGTGCTAGGTCTGGTGCGAAAATGGACAATATCGATCAACTCTTTCTTGTGCTTCCCCAACAAATGGTCAAAATTTTAAATAATTGCAGCTCTCATAAAATGTGTTGTAAGAGCCCGATTGCCTTCAATTTTCACACATCCCAATATTTACACTAACCCAAGGAATATGAAATATATCGGTCCACTCCTTCTGGTACCTCCCCGCAAATGGTCAAAATTTTCAAAAATATATATTTTGTGCACAGAAGGAGAAACGATAATCCGATTTGGCTCCAACTTTGCAAATCCTAATATTTGTATTAGTGCTAGGTCAGGTGCGAAAAATCAAGTACCTCCCCCCACAAACGGTCAAAATTTTAAATAATTACAACTCTCATAAAATGTGATGTGAGAGTCCGATTGTCTTCAAACTTCACACATCCCATTATTTTTATCCGTCCAAGGTCTGGTGTTAAAATGGAATATATCAGTCCACTCCTTCTGGTACCTCCCCCCCCCCCCCCCCCCTATGGTAGAAATTTTCAAAAATATATATTTTTTGCACAGAAAGAGAAATTATAAGCCGATTTTGCTCCAACTTTGCAAATCCTAATATTTGCGTTAGTGCTAGGTCTGGTGCGAAAATGGACAATATCGGTCCACTCCTTCTGGTTCCTCCCCCACAAATGGTCAAAATTTTCAAAAATATATATTTTGTGCACAGAAGGAGAAACGATAATCCAATTTGGCTCCAACTTTGCAAATCCTAATATTTGTGTTATTGCTAGGTCAGGTGCGAAAAATTAAGTACCTCCCCCCACAAACGGTCAAAATTTTAAATAATTACAACTCTCATAAAATGTGTTGTAAGAGCCCGATTGCCTTCAATTTTCACACATCCTAATATTAAACTAACCCAAGGTCTGGTGTTAAGATGGAATATGTCGGTCCACTCCTTCTGGTACCTCCCCCACAAAAGTTCGAGATTTTCCAAAAATATATTTTTTGCACAGAAGAGAAACAATTATCCGATTTTGCACCAACTTTGCGAATCCTAATATTTGTGTTAGTGCTAGGTCAGGTGCGAAAAATCAAGTACCTTCCCCACAAATGGTCAAAATTTTGAATAAGTACAACTCTCATAAAATGTGATGTGAGAGTCCGATTGTCTTCAAACTTCACACATCCCAATATTTTTATCAGACCAAAGTATTGTGTTAAGATGGAATATATCAGTCCACTCCTTCTGGTACGTCTACCACATATGGTCGAAATTTTCAAAAATATATATATTTTGCACAGAAAGAGAAACTATAAGCCGATTTTGCTCCAACTTTGCGAATCCTAATATTTGCGTCAGTGCTAGGTCTGGTGCGAAAATGGACAATATCGGTCCACTCTTTCTGGTTCCATCCATTGAGCTCATAAAACGTGAAATCAGCACTCAATATTTCCATCAACACAAGATCTGTTATAAAGATGGTAGTGATCAGACCATTTCTTTTGCTACCTGCTCTACATAGAGTTCAAGAATTTGAAAAACAAAACGCTCAATGAAAGCGAAATAAGCATCCAACCCTCTTCAAATTTTACACATACAAACATTTTTGCTAACACAAGATATGTTGTGCAGATGCTATATATCGCGAACCCCTTCTGGTACCTCACCAATAAAGGGGAAAAATTTCCAAACTTTTATCTGTCATAATTTGGAAACAACTCAGCGATTCTTTACAACTTGCTATATATCTCTCTATATTGTAAAGCAACGTAAGTTTTCATTGCATGAACAAAAAATTCATTATATTAATGTTGCTTTTCATTGCATCAATGAAACCGTTTCATTGATACAACGAAGCATTTTTCTTCAAGTGTAGCTCTCATATAATGGCATCTTCCCGATATTAGGTATTTGCAATAGGAATTGTTACAATTCCATAGAGTTTGTAATGGGTCTGCCTCCTGTGGCAAATCACGCTTACAGTAATACCTCCGAATACTTGGTATTTGGAGATTTTAGCCACATGAACCAAGTTCTCACACTTTCACAAAATATTAAAAATTATAAATTTATATTTTTGTTGATACATATAGATTTAATTCACCAACAAAAATATTTTAATTGTATTGGTGTTAACAGCCCAGTTAGTTTACCGGCTGATATTTGAAACAATCAGGCTTGCATTTCCTTGCATTGTCGCCATATATTTTTTATGGAAATAGCACAGGTTTCGTTGGTTTACATTTTGTCCATGGATTCCTACCAATATGTTTCAGGACTTTGTCGACTTTCTGCGAAAGCTCCTTGATCGCTTGATACATATCGGCGAAACACATTCGTTGTGAAATTGCTTCAACAGCTGCTGTTTGTTTTGATGTCGTGGATACCAAATGAATACTGTTGTTGTTGTTGTTGTAGCAGTTTTACATGTTCCGTTGTTTTTTCGGACTATTCCGGTTCTTCCTCAATGTCCAGGTTTAGGAATTCTGCTACCCTTATGGGCTGTAGCCATAGATCCTCTGGACGGAGTTGGGTAGGTTTGGCTGGACAATTAAACAAGTGCAGCGTGTTGTGCGGGCCTGTATCGCACGCTGGGTAGGCGTTCCGCACATCCTCATCAATTCGTGCCCAATAAGAATTGAGACGGCTGCACCATCCTGAACGTAGTTGGGCCAAAACTACCCTGGTTTGCCTAGACAGCCGACGTTCTTCAGCTGCAATGGATGGGGGGTGGACTCCGAGTATGGCATTCATACTGTAATTATTAACTATCTCTGCGACTGCATCAGTATACATGCTATTCAGACCCGCTTGATAGGCTTCATGATCTAGAGGCTCTCTCTTATATCGCTGGACCTCTCTCTCTAGATAGTGCAGGTCCTTCCTTACACGCCTGGGTGGGGGAGTTCTATCCACCATATGGTGGTTAGGGTGACTCCCGCGATAACACCCAAGCAGGTACTGCAACGAAAGCATATGATTATGCTGACGTAAGGGAAGAACCTTCGTCTCCTCATGTAAATGGTCCACAGGAGTCATGAGGAGGCACCTTGTTGCAGTTCTCAGGGCGGCATTCTGGCAGGTCTGAATACATTTCCACTGCGTTGCACTTGTATTCGCCGACCACACTGGAGCCGCATAGTTAACCACAGACCGACCTATCGCTTTATAAGAGGTCAACAAGGTTTCCTTATCCGCACCCCAAATGCTGCCGGCTAGCGCCTTGAGGACCTTGTTCCTACTTTTCATTTTATCGCAAATAGCTTTGGCGCGGAAGACTTGAACATGCTATCGAATGTGACCCCAAGGATTTTGGGGTAGTTGGTGGTCGGAATTATGTGCCCCTCGACCTGCACATTCAGCTGTGTTCTCATCTCCGCAGACCATGTGGTAAATACCCAGCAAACATTTTTTTCCGATTTTCTTCCGAATTCGGAAAAAAACTCTGCACAAGTTTCCGACTCTGATGTCGAATTCGGAAAGAAATCGGAAAAAAATTGTGTGAGATTGCCCAAGATTCTGAAAGATTTTGCGGAAAAAATTCTGAAAGAACGTAAGAGTTTCGGGGCGAATTCGTATAGAATTCGGCAAAGAAAAAAGGAAAATTCGGAGAAATATAGGATGTTTGATACGAAATTCGGAAAAATTTCGGATGTTTGATACGAAATTCGGAAAAAAAATCTGAATTTATTCTATAGTTTTATCCGAAAATCGGGAAAAATTCGAATAATTCATTCGAAAATCGGAAAATAATAGGATGTTTGATACGAAATTCTGAAAATTTTCGGATGTTTGATTCGAAATTCGGAAAAAAATCTGAATTTATTCTATAGTTTTATCCGAAAATCGGGAAAAATTCGAATAATTCATTCGAAAATCGGAAAATAATAGGATGTTTGATACGAAATTCGCAAAAAAATCTACATTTATTTTATAGTTGTAATCGAAAAACATAAAGAAATAATAAAACTTTATCTAGTTTTTAGATAATTGTTTATGTTTGTATTTTTCAATTTAATGACAGAACATTTGTATTCAGTTTTTTTTTTTTTTTTGTAAAATATAAGGAATACGGAAATTAATATATAAAAAACATAAAAAGTTGCAATTCAATGTAAATCAATATAATTAAGGGTGGAAATATATAAAGCGCATATTTGGCTGGCTCAAGTCATCGGCTGGCTTATTCTCAGATGAACAAAGGAGTTTAAGGTTGACTGAGTTCGATTTTGGCCCAGGTTAAGGTTTGTTAAGCCTATCTTTAGCCGATTTGAAGAAATGTTTTATATGGGTTTATATGGCACTTCCCATAGTTTCCGGAATATGTTCCAATGCCGCATCTAAGTAATAAAAATGAAAAAAATATTATTTATATTATCAAAGCGTTTAAAACACAAGGATACAAACCTTTAACGAGCCTAATAAATTAGATGTCCTTTACAGCTGTATTTTGGTACATTTCGTGCCACGAAAACGTTGACCTCGCCAGTTTGAAAAATAAGTCTAAAATTTTCATATGTAAAAGTGTTTACATTGTCATGGCGTTGATTTTTTAAACGGCGTAGCTAAACAATTCAAGATATTAATAAAAGTAGTAATTGTAGAAAGGTGCTTACTTACCATAAGGTACTGAAGGTCCAAATCTTCCTTTAATTTTCATTTTAACTTTTCACTGCAACACACTGCACTCGTGCTCCGTACAAATTTTGACGACAAACTGATCATAATCAAAAAAAACAAAAAAGTTGTATACACAAAATTCTTCAAATAATTTCAACCGAGCATGTGCAGAGTACTCGGAAACTTTTCGAAAGGAACGGTAAAATAAATCTCAACAGAAAAAAGTTAACTCTCTGCTAATGTCAGAATTTTTGTGTTTTTTTTTTCAAAACAAAAGAAACGAGTATGTGCAGATTACTCGGAAACTTTTCTGGAGTAACATTAGAAATTCTCGCCAAAAAAGAGTTAACTCTCTGTATACGATGTTTTTTTTTCTCTTTTGCTTTGTTTTGTTCAAACAAAACAAAAGAAACGAGTATGTGCAGATTACTCGGAAACTTTTCTGAAGAAACGTCTGAAAATCTCGACAAAAAATCGGACATCAGAGCCCTCGGAAAAAATTGTTAGCTGGGTAGTGTGGCCGTTGATTTAGTGGAAGTAGGAGGCAAGCTCCGCGAGATAGTTATTCACCCTGACACATATGTCATCAACTACAGGACCCGTACAATCATCCGCACAAGTTACGATCTCGATACCGTCTGGAGGGCCCGGAATTCCGGAAAGGTAGAGGTTAAACAGTTCCGGAAATATCACCCCAACTTGGGGAACTCCCTGTTTCACTCTACGAGGCTTGGACTTCTTATTCCGGATTTCCACGTACGACTGGCGTCCACACATATAGTTGACTATCCAACGTTTCAAACTTGGCCGGAGGGTAGTGTTCTTAACGTCCTCGCACAGCTTGGCATGGTTGACCGTATCAAAGACCTTTGATAGGTCGAGAGCCACCACTACTGTTCTGTGGCACGGCCTGTTCTGGTTGAGTCCTCGTCTGATATGTGTGGATATGGCGTGCAATGCTGTTGTAGTGCTATTTTGTGGACGGAAACCGTGTTGATGGTTAGCAACTGAATAGCTTCCTCTGATACTGGGGAGGAGTAAGGCTTCGAGAGTCTTTGCTACTAGCGACAAAAGCGAAATTGGCCTGTATGATTCGCCTTTGCTGGCATCCTTGCCAGGCTTCAGTAGCGGGACCACTCTGCCCATTTTCCAGGCTTCGGGAACTATGTGGGTGGCTAACGACAAGTTAAGGACTTTGGTTAAATACTCAACTCCCGGCGTATCCAGTTGCTTCAACATTACCATTGATATTCCGTCCGGGCCCAACGCTTTAGATGACTTAGCGTTTCGGATGACATTCGCAACATCACCCATCGTAAACTGTGAGGGTACATCCTCGGAGGGAAGAGCTCTTATACGACGTAGTACTCTTCGCCTCGCCCTATCACTCTCGGGGTGCTCGACAAATTGGCGGTTATAACAGCCAGCGCATCTCTTCGGATCAGTCACAGTTATGTCGTTAAATGTGACTGCTGTCCTATCATTCTTTTTTCCAGGGTTCGAAAGTGACTTTACCGTTACCCACAGTTTACTCAAGTCGGTTCCAATGTTGCAACACTTCAGATGGTCTAGCCACTTTTTCCGCTTATGCTCCTGTACCAACCGGTTGACTTCCACTGTCAGTTCACTGACTCTGGGATCAGCAGGGTTGGTACGTCGTAGCTCATCACGCTCATCACGCTCATTCGCTAATCCCGCTGCCTCTGCTGGGAAATTTGGTCTTACTTCGGGTATTCGACCAGCAGGTATATAGCGAGCGGCTGCAGCTTTGATGATGTCCCGGAAAATCCTTTCAGCTACCCGAACATCAGAAGGATTGGGCAGTTCTCTGACGCGAAGGTTGGTGAACTCTCTGAACTCGGGCTAGTGGGCTTTCCCATGGTTAAGGAAAGTGCGGCGTTCAGAGGTTATGAATGGGGCGATCTGCTGATGGAGACGATTATCGGGAGATGGTCTGAGCCAAGAGAAATGACGGGTTTGCCAAGTCACGTCATTTATCAGACCGGGTGACACGATGGTTAAATCTGCGAACTGTGACACTCTCCTCTTATTCGAGGATGCCCCCATCCTCGTTTACCGTGCAAAATGTGGAACAGTCAATCTGCTCTGCCAACGCTGATCCCCTCTGGTTTCCGAGTAATCTGTTGTAGTGCTATTTTGTGGACGGAAACCGTGTTGATGGTTAGCAACTGAATAGCTTCCTCTGATACTGGGGAGGAGTAAGGCTTCGAGAGTCTTTGCTACTAGCGACAAAAGCGAAATTGGCCTGTATGATTCGCCTTTGCTGGCATCCTTGCCAGGCTTCAGTAGCGGGACCACTCTGCCCATTTTCCAGGCTTCGGGAACTATGTGGGTGGCTAACGACAAGTTAAGGACTTTGGTTAAATACTCAACTCCCGGCGTATCCAGTTGCTTCAACATTACCATTGATATTCCGTCCGGGCCCAACGCTTTAGATGACTTAGCGTTTCGGATGACATTCGCAACATCACCCATCGTAAACTGTGAGGGTACATCCTCGGAGGGAAGAGCTCTTATACGACGTAGTACTCTTCGCCTCGCCCTATCACTCTCGGGGTGCTCGACAAATTGGCGGTTATAACAGCCAGCGCATCTCTTCGGATCAGTCACAGTTATGTCGTTAAATGTGACTGCTGTCCTATCATTCTTTTTTCCAGGGTTCGAAAGTGACTTTACCGTTACCCACAGTTTACTCAAGTCGGTTCCAATGTTGCAACACTTCAGATGGTCTAGCCACTTTTTCCGCTTATGCTCCTGTACCAACCGGTTGACTTCCACTGTCAGTTCACTGACTCTGGGATCAGCAGGGTTGGTACGTCGTAGCTCATCACGCTCATCACGCTCATTCGCTAATCCCGCTGCCTCTGCTGGGAAATTTGGTCTTACTTCGGGTATTCGACCAGCAGGTATATAGCGAGCGGCTGCAGCTTTGATGATGTCCCGGAAAATCCTTTCAGCTACCCGAACATCAGAAGGATTGGGCAGTTCTCTGACGCGAAGGTTGGTGAACTCTCTGAACTCGGGCTAGTGGGCTTTCCCATGGTTAAGGAAAGTGCGGCGTTCAGAGGTTATGAATGGGGCGATCTGCTGATGGAGACGATTATCGGGAGATGGTCTGAGCCAAGAGAAATGACGGGTTTGCCAAGTCACGTCATTTATCAGACCGGGTGACACGATGGTTAAATCTGCGAACTGTGACACTCTCCTCTTATTCGAGGATGCCCCCATCCTCGTTTACCGTGCAAAATGTGGAACAGTCAATCTGCTCTGCCAACGCTGATCCCCTCTGGTCATTACCTAGGACGGAATGCCACAACTCATGGTGGGCATTGAAGTCCCCTAGTACCAGGCGGTTATTGCCTTCTAAAAGTGGGCTTATATTAGGCAAGTAACGCGGTTCACAGCTATTAACCGGCGGGATATACACATTACGCACCTCTACCTCGGCAGTACCACACTTGACTGCTACCCCCATACACTCCATGTACGGGTCACTAGAGACTAGCTCAAGCGAGATAGGTCTGTATTGAACAGAGTGGTGTATCAGGAACGCTAATCCCCCACCTCCACTTCTGGTGCGATCTTTCCTCAATACGTTGTAACCATTGCAACGTTGTAAACTACAATTTTGATTGAGCTTGATTTACTGCACCGCTGCGATCTTAATATTTCTCCGATTCATAAAATCCACTATCTCAACAATTTTACCTCGGAGTCCGTTGCAATTGAACTGCAAGAATGATGCATTGTCTGCAGTAAAGGTTGCTGTTCTGGAGACTGCGGGGGAGTTCCATACTCCGGCGACGACTCCGAAGTTGACGGGAACTACGTTGGTGCAGAACGATGCAACATAGTCCCTATCGCTATAGTCTCGCAACCGGGTTAAACCGGAACAATTCCTAAAATGCACCCATCCTCTGCATCCATTACATCGCACCGATACTGATCTATGGTGGTTTGCCAAAACACGGCAAACTGTACAGAACCATGGTCCGGGGTTTTCCTTCAAACAAACATGTATACACTGGATTGGCAGCCGCTGGCCGAAACTGGAGTGTTGTTGTTTCGGGTCAATCCGGTGTCGTAGAACCCGCTGACGTGGGATTGATGAATACTGCTGTTGTTGTTATTGGATGCTAAGAACAAGAAACTATTTTCTAAATATATGGCGTCATTACCTTTACCAGGTTTCATATACGCCAGAATTGATATCGGTTTCATGCCATTTGTTTCACCTCCTTGTATTAGAATTCGAAGTTTTGATTCATTAATTAATTATTCTCTCCTTAATCGCCAAATATTCGTTTTTTCTGTTGGGCCTGTGATTAGGTCTTCCACTGACAGGAGAACTTCGTCTTTAAGACGTAGACTTACAAGGTAAAAATTGTCTCCCCCCGAAGTTATTTACGCAAAGCAAATTGTGCAAACCATTACTGAGTGTTAAGTTCATTGAATTTCGGAATGTGCACTTTTTGCAGCCTAGATCGTGTATCCTCAAATTTGTTGCTGTTGTTTCTTTGTTGCCATTCATTCAGTTTCAGGATTGTTCTTATCGCATATTTCTTCGAACCAATTGATTCACGCTAAAACGATTATGTACGTCCGTACCTATATGTGTACGGACTTATATGTGTCCGGACCTATGTGCGTCCGTACCTATATGTGTATGTACGTTTGCGCGTCGATGTTGTGAAATTCTGATGCAATTTTATTGTGGCAAATCTTTTTATTAATTTCTGCTATTTCGGTGCCATCAATATTGCTATAGTGTTTGGTTACCGGGGAAGTACAAGACAATTCACTTGTCTTAATCGGCAAAATAACTATTCATTTATCAATAAAAAAGCAATAAAATATAATCTAAAATTGTTGAGTTCGATTAGGGATGGAGTTTCCTAACTTGGAATCAATTAAAGTACCCAAGTCTATTGCATGGCAGAATTAAGAAGGTATTGCATTCAGAGAATAGAATTGACTTTACCTTCTTAATTTTACCATGGTCCATAGCTTCATTCAGCATTTTTAGGTTTGAGTCTTTAAAAAAATACAAAAAATTAACGGATAATGTAATCTTGTATACGATAAATTGTAACACTTACTTTTGTTAACCTATAGACCATTTTAGAAACACCAATCATAACAATTATCAAGATCATCATGCATAAATTATATATTATATATAAATAATGTACAAAGTAAGAAGTAATAGTCCCAAAATACTACCCTGTGGGACACCCGAGATCTAAACAAGGTAAGATAAACAACATTCAAGAAATAATAATTTTTCTAACAACAACTGGTGCATAATTTTGGCCAGGGTCTGTATATATGGCATAAATTTGCAATCCTCCTTCCATTTTTGGCACACAATAGTCTCAGAAAATTGGAAGATTAGATATTTTATGCTTGTTTTGCGAAAGGTATAAATATTATGCTCAAAGATTTTGGAAATAGTAGCTAATTTTTAAATTGTCTATAATTTGAAGCT